TGGAACGAACATCATCGTCACCGACTGGTTACCAACCCATCCAAATTGCTAACTATAGGTACTCCTAAGGCGCCAAATAGCTACATGGGCATTTTATTTACCGCTAAAAATGGGTATTTACATGCATTGGTAGTGTTCTAAAGTCATTCTGTTTTCCGGGCGTAGAAAGCACCATGAACAGATTGTTATCCCAACCGCTATAAGGTAATAGAAACACCAGATAATCCTAATTCTTTGCGATGAATAACGGGGACGCAGCCTCTGTTCTAAGAGGGTGCTGTTCTTAGCATGAAGTATCCAGTCTATGGCACACGTTATGTGTTCCTACTCCACTCAAAGACTGGTGTAGTCGATGGTCGTTACAACAGAAGCCGGCTTCCTTTTTGACTAGTATATCTTGATGTTGCCACCGGCGTACATGTTGTTGCCACTAGCAGTGCGGTATCTTTGACGTTTATAGGCAACGTTCTATAAGTGCTCTAGAAACGTCACCTTTAAGACCAGGTGTAGCATCGTTCATATGGTAGCGCAGTGCAGCGCTGGTCAGAGCTATGGCGATTTGAACACGCCTGCATCAGAACATAGCTTACGGTTCAAGTGTCAAGTGTTGTCGACATGGCCATCTGGCGATTGCGCGCTGAAACAAGGGAACGTTACAAGCAGTTTCGTAGATGGGGAGAGGGAGAAATAGATGGAGGAGACATGTATAGGGAAGCATATGACCTATAATATTCCGTATCCACATTGGACCTCAGCTGATATCCATACTATGCACTCCCCAAACTTATTTCCTTCCAGAACTTCGGTGCACAGTTGTATCACCATGCCCCCATTCTAGCAAATGCCCTGTCCCTCCAACATATTCCCCATATCAGCCCACAGTGAATCCCCACCCTACACCTATAGATGGATGGAACCTTTAGATAAATGTGTGTTGTGTCCGTTGCCGGTCGCTTAGCCTCTACCTTTAGTAAAACAACTTACATCGCGTTCACAGCTTACCATGTGTATCGTAGCGGCCATTGAGACGTATCCCTTGGGGCTACATCAGACACTATATCCCTCAGGAGAGATATTGCATCCAGTACAGTACTAATGATGAGCGTTTTGGGATAAGGAAGTGTTAGATAGCACGTACTACTTACCAATCCATCATTTTCTCTGATGTACATGGAAATTCTGGCTAGGTCGGGCTTACGGCCTCGTATTGTGCCCCTGGAATCTTCTGCCGGCAACAACACTCCAGCTTGCTAATCGAACAGCGAACAGCTTCACATTTGCGCAGCTTCAATTAAGTTGAGAGCAAGAAGTATGTGTGACATTGATGAAGAGGATGAGAACAGAGTCCCGCTTCTGACTTTTGTATATCTGTCCTTCGCTAGTAAATTCGCTGCAGAGTGAAGGCATCTCTGGCACGTCTGTCAGGTCTGCAGTGTGACTCAAGGAGCAAGGCTTTCAATGACCATTGTGGAAGGATTCAAAGCCATCGTTTGACTGGCACGTCAGTCCCGTCTCTTACGGTCTTCGAAGCTGATACGGCTGGAAGAAGAGCTTAGCAGTACTAGTATGTGGCGGGTGCCGGTGCAAGCGATGTGATTGGCGTATCTGACCATGGTTGGATTGAAGCCTGATTCAGCATATACTCTGTTATTGGGTATTCTGTACCGTATTAAGGCATCGACATTGGCACAAGCTAGAGGTGCTGTTTATCATGTTATATGTATTATGATTATAATACCGGGTAAACTGGATAGGCATTAAAGGCGAGCTCTAGGTTACGGTTAGTACACATTTACCCTCTCCCGGGTTAATACAGTGCCGCTTTATAATCCAGATTAGTGATGACATTGGACATGATGTTCAGGCTGCCTTTTAATTAGTGACTGTAGACAGTTTCTGTGGCTGTGCCTTAGAGACAACCAAGGTAGAGCTGAATCATTGCTAATGGCTGCAGTGCAGGTCGTGGATGAGGTTCTTAGCCTCGCTATCCTTTAACCACAACATACGTAACCGCAGTAACCGCAGACTAGACCAAATGGGCACTTCTCGTATCTCTTTAGATGTCAATGAGATGAGCTTCTACATCTGTTCCCATACGGGCAAAGGTAAAGTATCATCAAATAGAGATTAGGTGTCTTTTGTTTTTATTATAAAGGTTGCGTAACCTGGTGGGTTTAAATGACCCTAAACTGGGCCTAGGGAGTTGGACTTGAGCTTCAGTCTTGACCTGGACATCGTGAACCTTACAGCCGTTACTATGCTGCGATATCTCTCAGTCAGGCAGCCCATGTTATGACTTCACGATCTAGTAAAATTGCCTTTAGCGTCTTTCAGCGTGAATATTAGTAAATGAAAAACATCTGCCACACCTAGCAAGACAATAAGTCGTGTCAAGAGACTATTAGCTGCACAGACGGCAGATAGGAAAGATCGCCATCTCTATATCCTCATCAGCCTCACGTTTCATCACACTATGAGACCTAGTAGTCTTCCCCAGGGGTCCAGGTCTTCCACAAATATACTCTCTCTCAACTTACACTACAGACTCAAAAGAAAGCCGTCTGCATTGTCTTTCTCCTGCTTCCCTAGATGTATCACTTACAGCGGTTCCCACTGTAGTACATAGTATCAACGTAACTTAGAGTCGCCTTACTCTTATAACTACAGCCTTATATCTTATCACTACTCCTCTGTCTATACAGTTCCCATACAGAGTTTAGCTGGCCGTATAGTTAATAAGTGTTCTCTCGGATTATTGCGCATTAGCACCAAGATGAAATTAAAACACAAATAGGGCCAAACTACTAAAACCTCTAAGGGCCTCAATAGTTCGCCATTGTGTTCTAAGGGCTTGAATTCAACGTTACTGGCGACTTCACAAATCGCGAGGCCAATCATAGTGGATAGACCAACCTTCAGAGATTCCCGCCGTCACTGACCACATCTAATATATGAATCCGTATACATACGGGGCTCACATCAAAACTCCGGTGATCACTAACAGTTGTTAGAATAGGCAGGGACCAGTTGGCATACTGAATTCATCTCTAACTATTAGGGGAAACATATAGTACACATTTGGCCCATTTGGGTTGTCTAATAGCCTCTTTACCTTTGCTATTCCGTTATCATATATCCCTAATCAAGAAGAATACTGGTGAGTTTCATATGCAATAGAATGGAAAGTCTTAACCCAATAGCCTAGAATAGATTCGCTGATGTCTTAAATCTGGTGTCTCGAATGGCTGCCTCTTGCAGTAGATAGGGCGCAGGGGTTGAGGCTAGATGTCGGGAGGTCCGCTGGACTTCAAGTTCTTGTCATTGTAGCAATGAAAGTGTTACTGAGCTCTCCACTTTCTTTTGGACAGCATTTACCATTAGGGTTCAGGCCCTCTCTATTTCCATTAAAGACAGACTATTAAGTGTCTAGCCATACATAAACGACCTCTATCGTCTCAGTCTTGAAACCTTAGACTAGATAAGTAGTCATCTCAAACGACATATATGGAAGTAATATAAGTTAATTTAATATATTTTCGTGTTATTCTCATCTTATGAAGGCTGTCGTATAAACATCAGTGTTTAGTTGATTTGGAGGTAACCTCAAAGTCAGATACAGATTAACGCTATTACTTCCACAGTACATCACATTTCAAGAAGTATCCTCAGTATGTCGCTTGCTTTCAGACGTCCTATATCCCTATGTATAATTCTATGGTAATACTTGCTTGTATTTAGTTAGAATTTTGTCGGGTATAGATGAAGTAGCTTTTATGATATCAGGCTGTTAGTCTCTACTGGAGCAGTTATTGAAGTATGAATCCTGACAGTGTTGAGTGGTTTTACAAGCGACCATAGTAAACGACAACTCTAGCTTTGGCAAAGCATGTCCGTCATATGCGCCCTCTGGCACGCCGTCGTCCTAGTAATTAAATGTAGATACCATACCGCCCTTGCCATTGTAAAACCTGCGCAGATATATTATACATTGATATGATAGCCGCTGAGCCGTTTATAAGGTATGAAACCGTTCCGTAGCCTGGACGAAGCTTTAGAACTGTCGGAATATCGAGCCGCCCGAGGTCTTGGGAGCTCTATATCAAACGGCATTGGTAGCAAACAGTGGTTGATAGCTCTTCTTCTTCTTCAGACACAAGCAGATGCATATCACTACTTTTGTTCTCAACCCATCCGAAAGGATATCCACCTATGATACCAACAAGAACATTTCTGTCGTCATGGTATTGTGTGGAAGGTATACAGAGAATAATAGAGCGACTGTTGAGTGATTTGGAAGAGTCCAAGGTATGGATGTCTGGACTGTCGAGCACGTCGTAAGTGAATCCTCCTGGTACAATAAGCCTGTTATGGATGCTACCTTAAGCTTGAACGGGAGGCGATTCACTAGTCACCTACCGCCCAGCCTCAAACGGACACGTTCAAGGTGGATTTAAATCTAGTTATTCTTATCGGTCATATCGCAGACTATATTCTATAGTAATTTGATACAATCCAGTTCAATTTGTACATATATCGGATGTAGCAAACGATTACTAACGATATACACAATGGGTTGGAACAGAATTGTTGTTGACTGATATGTAATGTTGAGTCTGAAGCGCTAATCGACGAACTCGCACTGTCTCCAATTTGGTGTCGCACTGCAAAAGATTGTCTGTCCAAATCGTTCCTCCTTGTCCGATTACATGTCGCTGTTGCGTGTCTCTAGTTACCTAGGCGGGCTTTTTTGCACTATTTGGAAAGTTGACGCCCAGTTTCCATGGCCCGTGATGCAGACCTTTTGGCCCAAGACGTTCATAGGCTCTGTCACAGACCCCACGTATCAGGTCATCCGGGTCTATCAATGCCTCACCAAGTGGGCGGAAACCGTATACCAGCCCTGGTTTCTCAACTGTCCTCATCAAGACGTCGACATCAATACGATCCCCAGCCGGGTCTGGACCAATCATTCCGACTCAGACCTCCGCATCTTGGTCAATCGTCTACTCCAAACTTGGAATAGGTACTCCGTATATCGATGGCGCAGATTCAGGGTGTTACCCCTCAAAGTACGTAATGCTGGTATATCTGCACTTCGTATAGGGTAGCAAAGGCGGGAAGACGCTGGTCATTAAGAAATAGAATGATATCCTCTCCCAATGACATTTCAGCAGAGGATGGCGGGAGAAGACCGTTGGAGAAGCGGGTACAGCTATAAGTCGTCAAAGGCAGGAAAGGCGCTGGTCATGGAGAAATAGAATAACATGAAATACCGCGAATGCCAGCACCGCCAAATGTAGCTAGGCCCCTCACCATGGCTCCGGTGGTCCCAGACTTTGCCTGCCTATTCTCAAGAGGGTAAGTCTACAACCCATCCACCTCGCTGTCGCTGTTGCCGTCAATTGAAGCCATTTACAACTACTGGCGGTATACAGATAACACAATGGGGACATGACTAAGTCAATGCTACAGACAGGCATATACCTTTGCAGTCAATAGAAGAATCCTCGTAAGCTCCCTTCTGGCACTAGTGGACATGGAATCGAGTTTCTACTCGGCATTTCTGTCTAGGTGTCAGAGACTAGGACCGTACAGAGTAACAGCGTCATCCAGGGGCTAGCTGAGGGTCACTAGTGGCTGTTATTTCCAATCTATCTCATCTAATCCTCCAATGAGTTCTTCTCTGTCCCCCTTCATCACTCTTTGGTCCTGTATTTATCTTCTGGTGCCCCTACATGATCCCGCCCAGGTCCAATCAGTGCTAGCATCTAATACTAGGCATAGGTAGTTCTTCATAATCAGCGTTCCCTTCAACATCACTAAGACTACCGCTCACACAAAACAGGTTGTTAGCACAGCAGAGACATAGTAGGCATTTTCAGAATCTTAGCTACACTAGTTCAAGTTTTAAAACTTGAAAAGGTAAATAAACAAGCTTACTATAGCAAACCCAATTCAGTCTATCCAATATTTCTCCCTTGTCCCAGGGCCAATAGATTCCAGTCAATCAGCGTCCAAGATACTCAAGAGCTGTAGTAATAGCGTAGACGCCCTGAATTCAAGTGTTTAAGCCAACGACCATCTCAAACCAGATGATCTGAGCAGCTCAATTCCTATCAGTAACTCTCAATCGGGAACATATATCTAAAGCGTTAAGGATTATCAATTTCTCACAAATATAGGTCATAAAGCAGACACCTTTGTATTTTCTATTACACAGCACCCTAAGTACTAATCTATAGTACGGCCACATCTATATCTATAATTTTATATTTCATTTCAATCAAGAAGACAGTCAGCCATCCAACTAAGAGAATATAACTAGCATAATTTGACTGCCCTTATAGGTTGGCGTCATCATAAGTTTTCTCATAGCTTCTTACTCAATAAGAGGTAAGGTAACAGAGGCACAGAAGTCTAAGCTTATAAGTACTACTTATAGGTAGATATACCCTAATCTTAGCAGATTGACCAATTATAGGAACAAACGTCAGCCATATAAGGAGGCAGAGTAGGCAGGCCAATAGGTATGAAATATATCATGCTGAGAAGTCCAACAGACAAGGCTATAGGCTGCGGCTGCGGCAGAAGGCTATTTAGAGGAGCTTTTAGTAAACCTCAAAGTGCCTAAAGAGAAGACCCAAGTCACAAAAGGTCGTCAAGGTCAATACCCCACACCATAGCCAGCAACTTCAATAGTAATATCCTTCTTATTACTTAAGCCACAGTCTATAGACCTTTGTATCATAGGCCTCTGCGCATACTAATTCCTCAGCCACTTCCGGTGCGCACGTGCCTATTCTAGAGGATTCGTGTTCAGCTGGTTGTTAATCAGAAAGCCTACGCCTCTACCGTTGATCCCGTTCAGTGCCAGTGTCAGTGCCGGCCTCTTAAAGACCCTCCTCTTGGTACCTCTAGGATCAAAGTAGTCAATCATCTCGTTACTGAAGTAGACCTAAAGATTAGATCCGTCCACCATGCCCAGCAAATCAGGGCTTGTCCAAAGGCTGAGCCACAAGGCATAGTAGGTGGCACCGCAGACGTAGAGTAGATGAGGTGAATTGAGATAAGGTAAGATGAGGTAAGATAAGATAAGGTGAGGTGAGATAGTAGAAAGTGAGATAAGGTTTAGTAGTAAAGTGAAGTTTTATATAAGACGTGCAATGTGAAATGTGAGATGAGAGGCAAGAGGCTAAGTAAGAAAACTGTTTACAGTGCAAATTAATAAATCGATCTTCAGCGTTACTTATGTGTCTTTAGAGCTAGCTGGAATTATAGACTAGATCTAGGGCTATAGATAGAGACTATTCAATTTATTATGTAATGTCGGGGTGCAGCTCAGGTTCTGGCTAGGTAACTGCCTTATATTTACCCTTCTTGTGATTATGGTAATGCAGTTGGAATCAATAACAGTGGGGCACTTCACTTTAAGCTCTATACATAAGTAGTACTGAGACTCCCGATAGGGCGCTTTCTTTATAAGAGACGATCTGGCCTTCGTCATCTGTCTCCAGATTCTTGTTGAAATGATGTTAAAGCAATGGTTTATCTGCCTTAGGTCAGGGTCTATGCACCCGATTCCTATTGTTATTATAGACGTACTACGTCGTCTCCGGAACTCCAGAGTTCAACTTTTACCGTGTTATATATTGCAATTCGTTACAGCAATGTTGACGCAGCCTCGACTCAAAAAGCCTGTCATAGACGTCGTGTAACCACCCCACCCCACTTATAAATAGGCCTCATATACCAATATACAGAAAATTGCGTATTTATCCCCTATTATTAACATTATCTCTTTTTTTAAACTATTATAATAATTACTATATATTACTAAATAACACTATTTTTCTAGGATATATTATTTATTATATTATAAAGTAGTATACTAAAAATAAGGTCTAATAGGCACTTTAGTATATTAATCCTAGGTATTCTATTAGTAAGGCTACTTATACTAATAGTATTCTATATACTACTCTTTATTATTAGCTTAAAGGTACTACCTAGTCTAAGAATACTACTTATATCTATATATAGTATTTATCTTAGGCCTAGGAGAATAATCTAGCTACCTATATATATAATAAAAATACTTTTAGTAGATCTTTTACTTATTAATAAGTAAAAGGACTAGTAAAGTATATAATAAGTAATAAGTAGTAATATATAAGAGAAAAATAAATATACTAATTTAAGTAATAAAACTTATTTATTATTAATAAAAGGTCTAGAGTAGTAGATACTTAGTAATAGGTAGCCTATTCTCCTAAGGTTATCTAGGATTTCTTTTATTATCTATATAGTATTTCTACTAATTAAGGGATCTATTTATTTAACTAATAAGATATAAATAAAACTAGTATAATAAAAGGTAAAAGAGTTGATAGGTTAATAGTAGACTCTATAGTATCTTAATATATATATAAAAAGTAACTAAGATCTAAAGTATAGATTTCTTTTACTAAATATATTTTTACTAATAAAAGGTCTTATTATATAGTATTATATAAGATGTTAGCTACTACTATATAATTAATAGTATTATTTTTAGTGTAATAGTTATAAGCCTAGTTTACACTATATACCTTAATAGTATAGCCTCTAGCTAGTGTCTAAGTATTATAGACCCTAGGGGTTTAATTTTCTCCTAAAGGTAAAAACTATAAAAAAAAGACTACCTTTATTAGCTTAGTGTTATAGTCAGTAATCCAACAGTAGGGTTTCTGCTAGAAATAAGCTAGGGTTAATACTTAGTTAACAGTAGTATAGGCTTACTAGTCTATTAATTACTTAGTAATTAGTTAGGTAGTTAATAGTTATAAAGGTAGCTTATATAGCTCTTGTTAATTAAATTACTAAGGTTAAATACTAAAAGTTATTTAAATAAATTATATTATAAGAAGTTAATTACTAAAGAGCTATAAGAGTCTATCCTTAAGTATGTCTAAGTTTATCCTATATATAAGTTTATGCCTTTTGTTAGTGTATAGGGCTATATATCTAAACTATAGCACCTATATGTTTTCTGTATAGCGCCTATATACTAAGTATATAGCTTCTGTATTTCTAATATATAGATCTTATCTAATCTTATTATTATATAACTTATACTATAGTTCTTCTGTGTCTATAGGAGTCCTCTTATCTACGCCTATCTATTAGTTCTATATAAATACTATTACTGCCTACTAGTTACTTTGCTAAGTAGGGCAATATTGCCTATAACTTGTTAAGTTATAATATTAGGTCTCCCCTCTAAAGGTCTTGCCCTTAAGACCTATATAAGTAGGTCACTACTCCTAGGTTAAGGAGTTATTAATTCTGCTTCCTGATTTACTTATAATACTAACACTATATTAGGTTATATAGAAAAATTAAGGTTAAAATTAGTACTTTATTTAGTATATAATTATGTTTTTTAATAGTTTAGTTCTTCTAACGTTATACTTTATACCTAGTGCTTCTATACTAGTTATATTTATTAAATAGCTAAAGGGGCTAAAGTTTATTAAGGTTATAAAAACTTAAAGTGTCCTTATAATAGAATAATAGTAGCGTTAAGTTATAAGTAAACTTCTTTCTTATTCTGTTAGTTTACTACTAATAATATATAGTATAAAGGCTAAGTAATTAGTGTTAAGAATAGGAGGAGAAAGAGAAAAAAGTAAATAATACCCTCCTTAAGCTTTATTAGTAGCTTACTTAGATCTAATCTAAGGTAGCTAAGGCAGCTAGTTATTTATTAAGGATTTATACTATTTATAAAAAGGTAAAAGAATATTATATAAAGATATTTATATAGAGGATATAGAAGTTAAAGGAAGTAAATACCCTAATAGTGCTTAATACTTATAAGCATTAGGTAGTAAGTAATCTTTAGGCTAAGGGTATTAAGAACAACATAGACTAGTCCTTGTATAGGCTTAGTGATAAGTTTACTAGTATAGGTCTATTAGTACCTAATTCTTCTAGTACTTATAAAAGTCCTAGAGTAGCTATTAAGAGTACTAGAGGTTCTTAACTAGTTCCTATAAGTTGTCTTTATACCTATAGCCTTTCTACTTTACTAGGTATTATTCTTTACTATCTTTATAGCGTTTATTAATAATATATTTAACTTTATATTTTAGTTTATTTAGTTCTATAATAATATAGTTATTAGTGTTTAATCTTTATAGTGCTAGTTTAAGTAGTATAATATAGAAGACTAAGTGTATTTTTATTATTTCTAGTAAGTTAAGTTTATAGTTAACTAGTAAGACTTTCTTAAGGATTTTAAAAGGTCTAAGTTTTTTATAATTAAGTTTGTTGCTTAGTTACTTAGTTTTAATATTTTAGTAGATAAGATACACACTATCTCCCTCTTTAAAGGTTAGTCCTTTAATCCTTTTCTAGTTAATATACTTTATTATTTATTATCTAATAAATTCTAGGTCTCTTAAGGCTAATTCTTAGAGTTCTTAAATCTTGTTAAAGTTAGCTATAGCTTTTAGTGCCTATAGTCCTTGTTATAGTTCTCTGTATACTGTTAGTTAAAATCTATAGTTTAAGTAGAATAGTAAGTTTAAAGTGCTTTCTCTAATAGCGCTATTATAGGTAAATTAGGCTATAGAAGTAATAGTACTAATTAT